CATACATACATACATACATACATACATACATACATACATACATACATACATACATACATACAATTATTAATACCCCCCGCAAAAGTTTTGAATTATAGTAAACGAATTGCTCATTATTTATTTTTTGTACATACATTGGGACTGACTGACCAGCTCTGTCCCCACATCCAACTGACTGACATAACTTCTATTTATATGCAATATAGAATTTGTGTAACGATTCTGAGCCTTAGTAAATTAATTTTATTGCCTCTTTAGGTACCTACGACAACTTTGATACTGTACCTGAGACACCAGTTCTCAGTTTCGCTTGCCTGACCACAGTATGTTTGTGTACACCACAACTACTGTAATCAACTATCAAAAAACTATGCTTACTAAATTCAAACAATTTTTTTGTCTCTGGCTCTCCATCTATAACTAATTTTTCATGTATACAAGATAATCATCGAAATGGAACAAAAGTCTTTAATCTCAAGTAGAAACTTCTCGGAACTCTCGAAGACACTCGTATCATTTCACTTAACGAACATCTGATTCCCCTTGAGTCAAAAAATTTATCTTTGATCGCTTATCAAAACTTTTTTATACAAATATGACTTGAGTACTTCGCTTAAAAATATAATTTTTTGTCAATTTCTCTTATACAAAACAATTAAATAAACTGGCTACCACAAATAGTTCTGCCACTTAAAATTGGTCATAAAATGGAGGATAAGTAATAAACAAACTACATAGTGTACTTATATCACGTTACTATAATTATTTAGTTCATTATTTTGTTACCTAATTAGTACACTAGGCATGGAAATTAAGGGTTATTAAAAAATTCCCAAAATTTTGGGTGATTTTCAAAGGGACGCCTTTTTTACGGACTGTGGTTAGGATACACGTATCTAGGACCCCTAAAATTCTGCTGGTGACATACTCTATCGGCAATTCGGAAATTTAAAACTGCTGTCCTATTCCAGTAGCGGTCTGGGGTGAAGCTATATTGTCTGTGGAGCGGGTATGTTTCAACAACGACTATGAATTCAGTCACATCGTCCGTTAGAGGGCGCTAAGATCTCTTCAATATATGAAGGGAGGTAGGAGGAAATCATCATTGTCAGATTAAGCCAATTAAAAAACTTATCGGGATCTGGAAACGCTGAAGGAAATGGTCATAAAAACGCGAAAATTACTACATTTGGCTTAATTGAGGTTAAAGTGGAAACGAAAAAATACGGGTCTCACATTTTTTACCATTACCATTTTGTATATTATCAAAAAAAAGTGGAAACCATGAAAACTTTTCATTTCCAGTAAACCGTCATTCGATGACACCGACACCTGGCAGCCAACGGGATCTGAAGAGTTGACTTACTTGACTGTAACGGGACCTGACGATATAAAGCTGGAAAGGACTAAGGGCCTGACACCTATTGATTTTTGGAGCAAGCTGGGACTCTTGGAAAATGAACACATTACTGTGAAGGACGAATTGTAAACATTTTTTATTTGTTTTATAGATGTTTCATAAAAACACTCAAGAAACGAACATGTTTGTTTCCTTTAAAAATCCGCAAATATACCTTAATATACAGGGTCAAGCATGTTAGTGCCATTTTAGGCTAAAAGTAACACAAATATGACGAGGTCAACCGTTTCGACCACTGCTACTCGTTTCCTACTTCTACACAATATAAATTAGTACGAGTTGATTTTTATACAATTTTTTTCGGAAACTTTCTTTGACTGCCCCAAATTGTCAATGTTGTATATGAGGTAAGTATAAAGGATTTTTTTGGTTGGTAGGAGTTACAGATTAAAGGGTCAGATATACCACAATATGACGTCACGTTGCACTTTTACCAACATTTAGGGTGAAACTCATCACAAATTAATACAATTAAAATATTACTGCAATTTAAAACAATCAGTTAGGTACAAGAACGTCCACATCCCAATCAGCAGTTATATCAATAATGAATATGATGAATAACAATGGACCGAGAGCAGATCCTTGCGGAATGCCAGATGTTGGTGGGTATTCAATAGATTGGTAACAACTATACTTTAAAAACGGCATATTTCCACTAAGTAGGAATTGAACAACGCGATAAAGCATGTGTCTTGTTGACAGAAATTTTATTGATAACAAAGCAACCTTTGTTTTCTATATCTGCTGCCATATACAAGGTGTTTGTAAATAAGTGCGAAATATTTTTGGGGGTGGTTGCCGAAGGTATTTTGTGAAAAAAAGTTCATATAAACGTATGTAGAAATATGCTTCGTTTCCGATATATAGAGTGTTTAAATTTAATTTCTTTATTTATTTTTATTAATTATTTTTGAGTTTTAAAGATTTAAAAAACGCTCTGGAGGGATAAATGTGCATTTTTGGGGTGATCCGAATATTTCTACTTGTACCAGTGGCGTTCGTGCAAAAATTCCACAACCTTTTTTAATAAAAAAATGGTACGCCACTGTCTTTTCCCGTTTTGATATTATTTTAGAAATCCACCATCAAATGAATGAAATTGGTCTCTTCAGTTTTTTTTTTGGAAAACCTTCCGGACATTGAAGAAAACAATCCAATTATTTCCAGCACGATCCTATGCTTCTGTTCATCTTTTTTTTTAATTAAATTAAAATTAAAGTTGATGACCCAAACCAGATTTCGACCCCGATTCATACAGTTTTTTGAGACAAATTTCTAATTAATTTTTGTGCAGTCTGTAAACACTTAAAACGGTTTTTTTTTCAAAATACCCTTTTTCTTCTCTGAAAAAAATTTCGGAAATTCTTTTGACCTTTTAATTTTTTGCATTAGTGTATGTGTTGATACCCCGCGAAATTTACCAAACAAATTAGCAAAAAAAAATGGCAAGGGAAGTGACTAGCGCAATCAGAATATAACATTTGCAATTATTCAAGATATACACATATATCTTATATAACAACAAAAATAATATTAAGAGACTATTAACAAAAATTAGTGTTGAACTTATACTCAAACATTTCCCTATGTCGCAAGGTCGGAGGTGATTCAAACTCCTTTTTTTAAAAAGTAAAAAACAAAAAAATAGTCAGATAATAAATCATGAATCAGTATAGTGATGGACATAATCCAATTTTGACAATCGAATCATCGGTACCTACTCGAGATATGAGGTATTAATCATTTTCATCCCATCAGCGCACACATGTTTGCATTAGTCATATATTACTTATACGCGTAGCTAAAAAACAAGTTCACGCACCTCAAAACTGAAACACCCTTTCGTTTTATTCTAAAAAAAACGCGACGCAATCAGCGACTACTTGCAGTATGAGCAACATTTAGGGGAGCAGCCGCAGGGTAATAATCACTCGAGTGGTTGAAGTGGACATCTCGAGACGAGATATCTTGAGTGATCTCAATAATCGAGTACCACTCGATTTTGGACTCGAGATCTCCCATGTCAACATTCAAAAGGTTCTAAATGTGTTTGAGAATATGACAACTTGAAAATGAAGATATCCATTATATACAAGGGCGGATCTGTTTTGAGGTGGATGTAAGAGGGGGCAAGCTAATTTTTGCTGGAATACCTTCAGTACAGCTCACATAATAAAAGTGTAGAACCCTAGATCTGGACGAGGTCGGGAACATTTTCAAAATTGCAAGAATGTTTAAAAAATTTTAAAAAATACCTTTTACTTATATCCTGGAACCTAAGCATTTTGGAAGAATATTGAAGAGGAAATGTGGGTAGAAATAGCTCCTTGTCTGCTAATTTACAACGAGACCTTACCTGCATCAGAGAGAGAAACAGTAACGAAGGAAGATTAAAGGCGGGTATGCGTGTATATATGTTTGGTTTGGTTTTTAATCAATTATATTTAGTGAACATTGTTTTGGGCTCTTAGCCATCCTGTTTATGTTCCGTTTTCTAAATAAATAAATAAATTAATAAATGTCTCACCATGAGGTTATTAGATCAAAACTGATCTACTTATCCGAAGACATAACGGAAATACCATAGGTATATTAAAAATACTGATCAATAGTATTTTAAGTATTAGATTATATCCATTTGTATAATAATCTCTCTCACGATATTGTTTTAACTCGAGACGTAATAACGTAAACTACTGCTCTAAACAAATTGAAATCGCTAGTCAAAAAATTAAAAAATATTTTTAATTATGCGAAAAAAAATATTATTGGAGTACCATGTAAACGGGGCAAAAGTTGCGGCGAATTAGAAATTTAATTTCGAAATATACCTATTTTCCTTTAATTGAGTACCTACTCGTTTTGGGAATTTATCTGATTTAAATTTTCTTGCTTTACAATTAGTAGATTCCTCAAAGTTTCCCGAATATGTAAACAAATTTCCCGAAAAATCTTTTGAACGTTTATTACAAATGTATCCAAACGTTTTTGAAGTAGATAGGTTGAAAAACGAACTTAATATTTTGTACAGAGACGGAAAATTTCGTAATTTAGAAGTTCAAAAAACTATAGAGATGTTATAGAAGGAATTTAAAATGTTATTTTCGGAAACATACAAACTGTTTTGCCCAGTTTTAACAATTCCTGCAACAAGTGTCTCGGTAGAAAGAAACTTTTTGTGTCAAGGTGGCTATATCCCTGGCCGAAAAATGGTAAAATTTCTGGTATTTTTAGGTACTGAAATCTTGAAAAGTAAAACGTGTAGAACAAAAGTAAGCACAAAAAAAAAATCCTTGATGTTTTGTATATTCATTGTTATCATTTAAATTTACCCAAATAAAATAACTAAATAAAAGCGTTTGTAAAACATGCGTTTTCTGTTATCCTAACCCCACATTTTAAGAATTATTTTCACGTACTTATAAATAAAAGTAAACAATTTTATATGTAGGACTAAGCAAGTAAATGTTATAAGAATACTTACATGTGGAGTTATATATAAAAAAGTTAGTATTTTCATAGATTTCAGTACCTAAAACCTTGATGGTTTGATCGTTTTTTGTACCTGTTTATTCGTTTTACTGCAGCGTCTTTGAAAATACTCAGGTGGCATGACATAACATTCCTGTTATTTGATAAGCTTTAGATTATTCAGTTATTAAATGTTTGAAATTATTTGTCTTTGCTGAAAACACTATTTAAAGAATATAGGGCCCTTAAGACTTAGGTACCTGGTTAAGAAATGCGATGACACAAGAGTGCTTAAATAATTTATCAGTGATGGCGATAGAAAAAGAACTATTGCAAAGTCTTAGTGCCGATCCCCAATTTTATGAAGTAAATTTGTAAATTTAAAAGACGGGCGAATAAACCTATTTGATAAAAACATCCACTAAGTATGTTTTTAAAATATTTTGTTAAAAGTGGAGGCAAATAAATAGATAAGTTGGCCACCTTATGAAAATTTGTTTTTATATTTTTTTACAGTTATAGTAGGTAGTAGTTCCATTGGCGAAAATCTCCATTCTCCATAATAAAAAATGACGTGGAAATTTATTCCCCTTTATTATTTAAGAGTAGATTAATAAAATATCCAAATACTTGCGTATTATTTTTTTATAAAATCTGAATGAAAATCTTTCTCGTGGTCATCAGTTTTTCTATAAATAAATAAGTACGTGCAACTAAAAATGTCCACATACATTTAGTCGTTTGACCTTGAACACTAAAAAAGTTTTGCTGCGGGGCTTTTTCTTTATTTCTTGTCCAACTTGTAAAAAAGCCTCACAATGTCACGAGCCGCCACTGCGCCATACCCGGCAATAGCGGCATGATAAATCATTCGAATAGGCGAAGGACAACATCGCTTGGCGGAAACCCCCAACCCGACTCCACTGACCTATCAGCAGGTGACGCTAGCATCCACCTCCACTATTTCACTCCGATCACGCCAGTTCTACCCTTGTGACTGTGATAAAGATAAGTAATAAGTATATATACCTGTCAGATTTCTGTCAGGATAGTCCAAATCGAAATGTTGTCTAAATTGGGTTGTCTGTTGTTTGTTCTCTCCTTTGGGAACAGCTGTAAGTAACTACAATTATTTACCTAGCCTACTTCTTTAACATTTATTGTATTATACAGTTTTCTGTATTTAGTTTTATATTTTTTAACAATCAAGTAAATATATTTTTAAAATAATGATTACTATGCGAGTGAATAAAACAAAACTAATTTGCCAAACAGTTCGCTTTACATAAAAATATACAGTTTTCCCTTGCTAGACATCGCAGAAATATCGTTGAAAAGAGAAACAATATCGGAAAAAATTATGTACTCTCTATTCAGGAAATCGCTATTAAAATTTTTTTAAACATTCATTCATTCTGTAATTAATCATGTAGTCACGCTTTAATAGTCCAGTAATTACCTGCTGTAAATTACCTTTAGCTGGAAAATTATGGGGAAGTTTTGATATTCAGCAATTTTACGTACTGTGGGCTTCTCATTTCAAATTTCTCGTTACTCGTTGCTTTTATAGCAAAAATAGTTATGTAACAAATTAAAGCCCAGGAAATTTGCTACAAAATAGGTTCTAACCATTTTTTTTCCATAAAACCGATCCGTTTTGGATAGGATACTAACAAAGGTCACTATTTAACGTGCAGTGAAAAGTAATAGGTACCCATTTCCACACCACCATGAGGTATTAGTGTACATGGCGCGCTTTTTGTTCTGTGGTTTCCCCACTAGGTTGAATTCACACGTTAATTGATAAATGAAAATTACGATAACTTCTTTCGCTTTATCGATGTTTTTGGTAGCTGAAGGCAACGAAGCGTCAGAGTCGTGTGGGATCAATTCTTCAGGCGCAGTAGCTTCTCTATTTTCTGTATCGATTTTATTACACAGTGATTCTAAGATCGTATCAGTGTCTTCATCGTCATCTCTTCTACATCCACATGCTTCCCAACATTCTATCTTACATTTACAAGAAATTAGTTTAAGAAGAACTTCTGGAGCAGGGACTCGGAGTCAGAGGGACAAAACTATTTTTGTCTTTCTTCCATCCCCTTCGATCTGCAGGTTTCTTGTTACCGATCCATTGCTGCACCTGAGGATACGTTCGAGACGAATGTTGTCTTGCTGCTGCTTCTGTAGGAGGCAATGAAACGATGTTAAATTTATTCCTGAATACTGATTTTATGAAGCATTGGTGCCTATAAGTGTTCAGAGGTATAAATTCCTTCTTATTATAGTCGTAAAGTTTGAGAGGAAAGTATTCTCCAGCTTTAGCTACACTTTCTTTGTCAGCATCTTTTTCTTTAACTAATTTTATAACTTTTTGGGTAGGGGGTAGTGGGGAGGGCGAGGTCAATGGTTTACTTAACAGAAATTGTTTTGTGATCATTGATAATTAGTCGTTCAAGGATAACAGCAATGGATATTGTTCACATTAAACAAATACTAATGCTCCGCTTTTAAGTATGTTGTTTTTGTAGTGTAAATTATTATCGGTAAAAAAATACAGTGTAATTTATATATTTTAATTTAACTCGATGCTAGTTTGTTCAAGCCAGGATGATCTGCCTGAGATAGACACACCTTTGGGCAGAGTTCAAGGATATTGGAAGACAATACAAAGCATAACTTATGCTGCTTTTGAGGGAATCCCGTACGCAAAACCACCAGTGGACGATCTGAAGTTCGAGGTAAGTCAAAATATTCTCATCTATGACTTACTGTTAAAATAAAAGAGCCACACTTTGCTATTTCGTTCTATTTCTGATTTGACAACTCTCATAAATTCTAATATACAAACTTTTTATATACAGGGTGTCCGGAAATTAATGCAACACAATTTGGTCACAGATTCTTAAAACAAATGTAGGGGATCAGTATTTTTTATTTTTGCCAAGTGGCCCCCTCTCTCGGGGTTACAGCCCCCTGAAATCCGCCAATAAGAATAATCTTTTTTATATCTCAGAACCCTGTTTGTACGAGAATCATTGAATTTGGTACAAAGGGGTTTTGTGAACTGTGGAATCTGTTGGCGCTACGCTTTTTGGCGGGGAACCCCCGTAAGACAATTTTTCATCTTAGAACCAAAAAAAAATGGTAGCATATTTAAATTTCATAAAAATTATTAGTCCGCTAGAAAGCCATTAAATTTAGAAACTTTTTTGTCCCTTAAAACTTTTTTCGTAAATCGCAATGTTTTCGAGAAAAATGTCAAAATGTAATCGAATGCATGTCGTCACTCGTCATTTTCCTCAAAAACGCAATGTTTTACGAAACAAATATCAAGAGATAAAAAGTTTCTAAATTCAATGGCTTTCTAGCTAACTAATAATTTTTAATAAAATCAAATTTGCGACCAAATTTTTCTGGTTCCAAAGACAAGGGGGCCCACGAAAAAGTGTCTTAAGGTGGTTTCTCGCCAAAAAGCGTAGCACTGTGAGATTCCACATGTCATAAAACCCCTGTGTACCAAATTTAGTGATTCTCGTACAACATGGTTTTGAGATATAAAAAAGACTTCTTATGGGCAGATTTCAGGGGGATGTAACTCCGAAAGAAGGGGCCAGTTGGCAAAAAGAAAAGATACGGGTCCTCTGAATTGGTCTTAAGAATCTATGACCAAATTTTGTTGCATTAATTTCGGGACACCCTGTATCAAACTCGACACTCCTCTTCTCGAAAAACAACAGTAAATAAACATCTGTGTATCTAAGATACCCACGGAGCATATGAAAGAACTACAGATATTTAACACTTACATTCATTGTTACTTTTATTTATCATCCGTTGTTCAATTATTCCTCAAATGTAGCGTGAGTTTGGAATGTATGAAGAGGTTGCTGTTAAATGTCGAAATTAACCGTCATTGCTTCTTTACATATTTGTAGGAACCTGAACCCATTCCAGCTTGGTCAGAAACTTTGGTGGCCAACGCTCCTTATTCATGTCTCCAAGGTCAAATACTTTCCAGTGATGAAACTCTATCTGGTCAGTATAAAGCACCAAGTTACTTGAAACCTTATTCCGCTTCTCTTAAAGTACGAAGAAATATGCCTTTAAGCATTTACTTCTTACAATATCATGGTCATTGATGAAAGTGTTTGTATTTTTTTAGGAGCCGAAGATTGCCTCTATTTAAACGTGTACATCCCCGAAGATTCCGTGAAGAATCCCAAAGCCCTTGACGTTATAGTTTCAATCCACGGAGGTGCCTTTATGGCAGGCAGCGGAAGCTCAGATTTGAATACGTTCCTAGAAAAGGATGTCGTGCTTGTATCTTTTAATTACCGTGTTGGTATTCTAGGTACGTTGTTTCTTTACCACTGCCTTCGGCTTCCCATGTCAGTGTTTATTCAATTAACGTTACAGGATTCCTTAGCACGGAAGATGACGTCATACCCGGAAACAACGGCTTGAAGGACCAAGTCTTAGCACTCAAGTGGGTCCGGGACAACATCGCCTCGTTTGGGGGAAACCCCGACTCCGTTACCATAGTGGGCTTGTCAGCGGGAGGCGCCAGCGTCCACCTCCACTACTTCTCCCCCCTCTCGAAAGGTTTATTCGCCAGAGGGATGTCGCAAAGCGGCTCAGCTCTAGCACCTTGGGCAATCAGGAAGAACGCCTTGCAGAGTGCCAAGAAACTTGCTGTGTTGGTGGGCTGTCCCGACAGCCCCTCTGAAGAACTGAAGAAGTGCTTTAAGCAGACACCAGCGGAAGACTTGCTGAAGCAGTTGAAATATTTCCGTGGTTACGGCATCATGCCATTCGCGCCTTTTGCACCAGTGGTGGAAAAAAGATCACCAAACGCTTTCCTAGATACAGATCCTTTCCAGCTCATGATTGAAGGTAAAGTCCACGATGTGCCTTGGATTGCCGCCTACACTACTGGTGAAGGATTGCTTGTTACAGGATGTGAGTCTCTTTATTTTTTCTTATATCCTGCAATGATTCGGTAATACAAAACTGTTTAAAGTAATTCAAATTATATAATTCTTCAGTTCTTTTGGAACAGTTGGAAGAGGTAGATGAAAAGTGGGTAGAAATAGCTCCCTATCTATTGAATTGCAACGATACTCTATCCGCATCAGATAAGGAGACAGTAGCGAAGGAAGTTTTAGACTACTATTTGGGACCAGGAGAAAAAATCGATAAGAAGAATTTCAAGAAATTTACACAGGTAAACACATTTTCTCAATTTGCGAAACAAAATTTATTTACTTTATTTTGTTTTTACTTGCATTTAGATTATCACTGACAGGTTGTTCGCGGTTCCTGCAGAATTATCAGTTAGACTGCAAGCCAGTGTAACGAAATCTCCAGTATATCACTACATATTCAATTATACCGAAGGTGTAAACAGAGTGGTATATTACTTAATGGGAACAGATGATATAGAAGGTAAGAACTGAACTTTTCCCTAGGGAAGAAGCGGCATTGAATAAATATTACAAACAAAATCAAATCTAGCATAATCATTCTCATAGGTGCGTGTCACGGTGAAGATGGCATCTACTTTTATGGTTTATTACAGTTTAAACCATTATCGGATCAGGATAAAGGCTTGGTTACTGCTTGCCAGAATATATTGTACTCATATGCCAGCAGCTGGTAAATATAACATAAATTTCCATGAATGACTTATTTCCTTCACTAATTCCAATTTTTTAGTAATCCTTCTTTCGATGGGACAGACGTTTGGCAACCAACAGGATCTGAAGGGCTGACATACTTGTTCATAAATGGACCAGGAGACATGAAGCTGCACAGGAATGAAGGATTGACACCAATTAAGTTTTGGAGCAGGCTTGGTCTCCTGCACAATTAAAACCTTAATGTAAAAAATAAACTGTAGATTTATAGTTACATATATGAACTATAAAAATATCTAACGAGATAAAAAATACTTGATTTCATCGCTTTGCTTATTGTTATAATAATTGTTTTATTAATATTATAGTAGAATAGTTAGACTTCGCCTGTAATCAATATCTATACTTTTAAATAAAGACTATTATTAAATATTACTATTATTTATTATTATTATTGAGGTGGGTCAAAATATTCTCATCTATGACTAACATTAATAGGATTTTATTCTGCCTTGTATCGGCAGCAGCGGTAAAGTGCGCCATCTGTAGCAGGTGGAACAAAAACAAGCTCGGAAACCATGGACCACAAAATAATTCAGAAAACTGCATGGGAAAACACAATTAGAGTAAATTTTAATTTTACTGTCTTACAGATGTCGCTGCACTATAATGGCGGTAAATTTAAACGTTATAAAACACACTAACAGTAAAATGTATTTCATAGGTACCCAATAGATTACAAAAAGCTGCTGATGGTTTAAGGTGAACCATTAACAGCTGTTCGATGACCAATGGGTCTTATGAAACACTTTAATTATCACTTGGTTAAATGAAAAAGTTCAAGCAGCAACTATCAAAAAACTGGGCATAGTAAATTCAAGCAATTTTTTGCCACTGGCCCTTGGACTATTATAAGATAAGATATGAGTATACTGATAGATGATCTTTTTAAGTTTTAGACTTTATCCACTTGTGTAATTACGATTTCCCTTATTTATTTCATGACAACGTGAAATTTGTGAAACTCCTAAAAGCAACGGTACCAAAAATCAGATTTTATTGGATATAGTATTTTTCTAGAGCGCCTAATTTTTAATTTTGGTTACGCAATTCCAGTATTTGAGCTTGAAAGTTCAATGAACAGGATCAGCCAGAGGTAGAGATAATTGACAAACTGAAGGCCATTTTTCGAAGGACACCTTCTTCACATTTTTATCGGCGGAAATATGCGAATAGATCTAAAACCACACACGGCGTTTTGTATTGGTCTAAGTTATCGCCTTTAGTTTTAAAGTTAGTGATTCAATCAGCGTTCTTTAAGAACGGAGTCTTTAAGATGGAAGACGACGTCATCGTCATACCCGGCAACATTGGCATGATAAATCAAATCTTAGCCCTCGAGTTGGCCTATCAGCAGGTGACGATAGCGTCCACCTCCACTATTTCACTCCGATCACGTCAGTTCTACCCTTGTGACTGTGATAAACAAGATAAGTGGTAGATATATATATGTATATATATCTGTCGGATTTCCGACTCAGGATAGTCCAGCTCGAAATGTTGTCTAAATTGGGTTGTGTGTTGTTTGTTCTCTCGTTTGGGAACAGCTGTAAGTAACTACAGTTCTTTGCCTAATCTAGATCTAGAATTTGAATTAAATAAGTTATTTAAAAGGAAAAATAAAAAAATTGAACTTTGACAAGCTGTAACTGGTAAACAACTGACAACTTTAAACATTTTGGGATATAAAAAATATAGCCTATGTTACTCAGAGATAATGTAGCATTCTAATGGTGAAAGAATTATCGAAATCCGTCCAGTAGTTTTTGAGTTTATTCGTAACAAACGTACATACATACAAAAATACAAATCTTTCCTCTTTATAATATTAGTATAGATTAAAAACTTTCGTTTAATATTTTTTTTAAGTAGCAAAATCTTGAACGACCTAATTAGCTCCTATTTTTCTGCTTCCTTTTGCTACTACTTACCCACAACTAAGTGTTCGACGTATGGTATTGTTGTGTGTAACAAAAATTTAAACTTTTAAAAAACTACGTTATGTCAAATCCAAGAGGTTTTCGAAAGTAAGTATCAGATAAAAGTTGTCGCTCTTGTTGATTTAAATGTATGATTTAACATTTTGGCATTTATTTCTAGGACACCCTGTAGATAAAGCAGCATTTTCTGCTCGAGAAAAAATACATTTTTTATAAATTTTCAACTCTCGCTGTAAAATTTACTTCAGAAAAAAATACTTATTAATTAAATTATTACAAGTGGCTGTAATGTAATCGCAAGTCGTTGGGAAACAGACATTGTTTCGTGATAATTGATAAGTCGTTCAAGAATAACAGTAATGAATATTGTTCACATTAAAAAGATACTAATGCCCCGCTTTGTAGTTTGTATTGTACATTATTATCAGTCAAAAACCACAGTTTAATTTATATATTCAAATTTAACTCGATGCTAGTTTGTTCAAGTCAGGATGATCTGCCAGAGATAGACACGCTATTAGGAAGAGTTCAAGGATATTGGAAGACATTAGAAGGCATAACTTATGCTGCCTTTGAGGGAATCCCGTACGCAAAACCACCAGTGGGCGATCTGAGGTTCGAGGTAAGTCAAAATATTCTCATCTAGGACTTACATTCATTGTTACTTTTATTCTGTTTTTCAATTATTCCTCAAATGTAGCGTGATTTCCCGTGTTTGTAATGTATGAAGAAGTTTGTGTTAAATGTCGAAATTAACCGTCATTGCTTCTTTACACATTTGTAGGAACCTGAACCTATTACAGCTTGGTCAGGAACTTGGGTGGCCAACGCTCCACATATATGTCTCCAAGGTCAAATACTTTCCACTTCTGAAGATCTATCTGGTCAGTATAAAGCACCAAGTAACTTGAAACCTAATTCCGCTTCTCTTAAAGTACGAAGAAATATTATTTTTATATGCCTTTAAGTATTTACTTCTTACAATATCATCGTCATTGATGAAAGTGTTTCTATCTTTCTAGGAGACGAAGATTGCCTCTACTTAAACGTGTACATCCCTGAAGATTCCGTGAAGAACCCCAAGGCCCTTGACGTAATAGTTTCGATCCATGGTGGTGCCTTTATGGGAGGCAGCGGACACTGGGATTTGAATACGTTCTTAGAAAAGGAGGTCGTGCTTGTATCTTTTAATTACCGTCTTGGTATTCTAGGTACGCTGTTTCTTTAACACTGCCTTCGGTTTCCCATGTCAGTGTTTATTCAATTAACGTTACAGGATTCCTTAGCACGGAAGATGACGTCATACCCGGAAATAACGGCATGAAGGACCAAGTCCTAGCACTCAAGTGGGTCCGGGACAACATCGCTTCGTTTGGAGGAAACCCCGACTCCGTTACTATAGTGGGCTTGTCAGCGGGAGCCGGCAGCGTCCACCTCCACTACTTCTCCCCCCTCTCGGAAGGTTTATTCATCAGAGGGATGTCGCACAGCGGCACAGCCCTGGGACCGTGGGCAATAAGGAGGAATCCTTTTCAAGCCGCTAAGAAACTTGCTGTGTTGGTGGGCTGTCTAGACAGCCCCTCGGAAGAACTGAAGAAGTGCCTTAAGCAGAGACCTGCACAAGATTTGCTGAAGCAGTTGAAGTATTTCTATGGTTACGACAGCATGCCATTCTCGCCTTTTGCACCAGTGGTGGAAAAAGGGTCAACAAACGCTTTTCTAGACGCGGAACCTTACCAGCTTTTGAAGGAAGGTAAAGTCCACGATGTGCCTTGGATAACCTCCTTCACTACCGGTGAAGGATTGCTTCTTACAGGATGTGAGTCTCTTTCTTTTTTCTTATACCCTGCAATGATTCGGTAATACAAAACTGTCCAAAGTAATTCAAATTATATAATTCTTCAGATTATTGGGAAAAATTGGAAGAGGTAGACGAAAAGTGGGTAGAAATAGCTCCTTATCTGCTAATTTGCAACGAGACTTTACCTGTATCGGAGAGGGAAACAGTAGCGAAGGAAGTTTTAGACTACTATTTGGGACCAGGAGAAAAAATCAGTAAAGATAATTACAAAAAATTTACACAGGTATATTTTCTCAATTTGTGAAACAGAATTTATTTACTTCATTTTATTTTTATTTGCATTTAGATGCTCAGTGACAGGTTGTTCTCTGTTTCTGCAGAACTGTCCGCTAAACTGCAAGCCAAGGTGACGAAATCTCCAGTACATCTGTACATATTCAATTACACCGACGGTGAAAACAAAGCGATACAACTCTTAACTGGGATAGATGAAATAGAAGGTAAGAATTAAACATTTAACTGGGGAAGAAGCGGCACTGAATAAATATTACAAACGAAATCAAATCTAACATCATTATTTTCACAGGTGTGTATCACACTGAAGATTGCATGTACTTCTATGGTTTACTACATATAAAACCGTTATCGGAACAGGATAAGCGCTTGGTTACTGCCTGCCAAAATATGTTGTACTCATATGCCAGCAGCGGGTAAAAACAACATATATTTCCTTGAATGACCTATTTCCTTTGTTAATTCCAATTTTTTAGTAATGCTTCTTTCGATGGTACAGACGGTTGGCAATCAACGGGATCTGAAAAGCTGACATACTTGTTCATAAATGGACCAGAAGACATGAAGCTGCACAGAAGTGAAAGTGTGACCCCTATCGACTTTTGGAGCAAGCTTGGACTCTTGGAATATGAAAACCTCGTTGTAAAACATGAACTGTAGTTTGTTTTCCGTATTGTCTTTGTTTTATAATCATCTTAAATTTTAATAATATTTTATATATGTATAAAATACCATAAACGATTCTGATTCCCAAAACGACAACTTTTATTCTGTTTTAGAATCAAACCAATCCGACGATTATAATTAACAAAATAACGAACTAAATAATTATACTAACCTGATATAAGTTGACCGGTTTGTCTATACTCATCCTCCATTTTATGACCAACTTTAAGTGACTGAACAATTTTTTTCTTTAATTGTTTTCTATAAGATGCGTGTATTACAAGAAATTGACAAAAAAATATATTTCTAGGCGAAGTACTCGAGTCATATTTGTATAAAAAAAGTCTTGGTAAAGCAGATAAGCGAATGATAACCATTTTTTCAAAGATCAATTTTTTATTCACGTAGAAACCAAGTTCCAAGAAGTCTCTACTCGAAATCAAGGACTTTTGTTCCAGTTTGACGATTATCTTGTTGTATTAACTCATACAGAATTGAATTTACTAAACCTAGTTTTTTGATAGTTGAATACAGCAATTGCGTATACAAACCTACTGTGGTCAGTCAACCCAAACTGAGAACAGGTGTCTCAGATACAATATCAAAGTTGTCGGACTTACCGAGGCAATAAAATGAATTTACTAAGGCTGAAAATCGTTATACAAATTCTATATTGCATAATAAATAAATGTTATGTCAGTCAGTCAGCCCCAATGTATGCATGTACAAAAAATGAATAATATGCGATTCGTTTCCTTATACTTTAAAACTTGTGAATCACACATGTTTCAATATTTTTTTCGTAATTGTAGCCTGAACAATTTTATTAAATTATAAAAAATAAATAAATTCTCTATTCAATGTAATTTAAGATGTATATTATTAATATTACTACTATAATCAACTATCAAAAAACTAGGCTTACTAAATTCAAAGAATTTTTTTGCCTCTGGTTCTTGAGCTACCCATTATTACAGATAAGAGTAGTATAATTGCAAGTAATTTATAATGTTTCACAATGCCGTTATTAGATCAAAACTGATCTACTTATCCGAAGATGAAACGGAAATGCCATGTATATTAAAAATACTGATAGTCTTTTGAGTATTAAATTATATCCACCTGTGTTTAATAATTTCTCTCACAATATTGTTTTAATAACCCTACACCATTTATTCAATACTTTTACATACGATAGGATATTTTCTATAAATAAATTCTGTGTAAAAACCATGCAGAATTTTTTCGGGTACGGACTAGGATTATTTTTGTGTGAAGTTTGTTCAAATTTACCGCTAGCTCTGTTGTAGTACTACGCGCATGCACGACTGGACTGCTCCGTCTATAAAACAAGCTTCCGCCTGTTATTACCTTTGCTTGCAACTGAATACAATTCGTGTGATTTGAGTCGTCTTTGTTTTAGTAGATAATAATAACATGAAAATTTTAAATGGAGCGTATATATCTAAGTGGTGAGAAGAGAAAGAGAAAAAAATAGCTAAGCTACAAAAGATATCAGACTTTTGTAAGGTTGTGAATAAAGCGACTCAAGCTGTTCAAATATTTGTGACGTACAATTTATTGAAGAAGGTAAGTCAATTTTTTAGTGATTGCTGATGAGAATTTTTCATGAGATACAGCATTAGGTTTAACAATATTGATACAAGAAACTTCTGAACCTTTTTTACTATTAAATGGTATTAAGGCCTTTTCTTGAAAGATTTCATCGGCAATATATTGGAATAAATAATTTTTCTTCGCCATTGATTCTAATGTCGGGGCCCCCAACATGCCCGGGGCCCTAAGCTTGAGCCTATTAGGCCTTTGCGCAAAGACGGCCCTGGTGACGTCCACCTCCACTATTTCACTCCGATCACGTCAGTTCTACCCTTGTAACTGTGATAAACAAGATAATTTGTAGGTATATATACCTGTCAGTTTTCTGTCTCAGGATAGTCCATCTCGAAATGTTATCTAAATTGGAGTGTATGTTGCTTGTTCTCTCGTTTGGGAGCAGCTGTAAGTAACTACACTTACTTGCCTAGCCTAGATTTATTATATTATATATTTTTCTGTATTTATTTTTATATTTTTTAACAATTAAGTATATTTTTAAAATAATGATCACTATAGGAGTGACCAAAACAAAATAATTTGCAAAAATCAGTTTGCTTTACATAAAATTCTTCAGGGTGTTCCGATAATAATTTTAATCACATAAACTCATTAAAAGTAACAACTTTTGGTAATTTTTTTTCCAAATCAGTCAAAAAAGACAGTTTAATTTATATATTTAAATTTAACTCGATGCCAGTTTGTTCAAGTCAGGATGATCTGCCAGAGATAGACACGCCTTTGGGCAGAGTTCGGGGATATTGGAAGACATTAGAAGGCATAACTTATGCTGCTTTTGAGGGAATCCCGTACGCAACACCACCAGTGGGCGATCTGAGGTTCGAAGTAAGTCAAAATATTCTCATCTATGACTTTTTCAATTATTCCTCAAATGCAGCGTGACTTCCCGAGTTTGGAATGTATGAAGAAGTTTGTGTTAAATGTCGAAATTAACCGTCATTGTTTCTTTACATATTTTTAGGAACCTCAACCTATTACAGCTTGGTCAGGCACTTGGGTGGCCAACGCTCCACATATATGTCTCCAAGGTCAAATACTTTCCACTTCTGAAGATCTATCTGGTCAGTATACATCACCAAGCAACTTGAAACCTAATTACGCTTCTCTTAAAGTACGAAGAAATATTATTCTTATATGCCTTTAAGCATTTACTTCTTACAATATCATCGTCATTGATGAAAGTGTTTGTATTTTTTTAGGAGACGAAGATTGCCTCTACTTAAACGTGTACATCCCCGAAGATTCCGTGAAGAACCCCAAGGCCCTCGACGTTATAGTTTCAATCCATGGAGGCGCCTTTATGGTAGGCAGCGGACACGCGGATTTGAATACGTTCCTAGAAAAGGAGGTCGTGCTTGTATCTCTTAATTATCGTCTTGGTATTCTAGGTATGCTGTTACTCATTAGGCTTCCCATTTCAGTGTTTATTCAATTAACGTTCCAGGATTCCTTAGCACAGAAGATGACGTCATACCCGGAAATAACGGCCTGAAGGACCAAGTCTTAGCAATCAAGTGGGTCCGCGACAACATCGCTTCGTTTGGGGGAAACCCCCACTCCGTCACTATAGTAGGCGCATCAGCGGGGGGAGCCAGCGTCCACCTCCACTACTTCTCCCCCCTCTCGAAAGGTTTATTCGTCAGAGGGATGTCGCACAGCGGCACAGCCCTAGGACCATGGGTAATAAAGAAGAATGCTTTGCAACGCGCTAAGAAGCTTGCTGTGTTGTTGGGCTGTCCTGACAGCCCCTCGGAAGAACTGAAGAAGTGTCTTAAGCAGAGACCTGCACAAGATTTGCTGAAGCAGTTGAAATATTTCTATGGTTACGACATCGTGCCATTCGCGCCTTTTGCACCAGTGGTGGAAAAAGGATCAACAAACACTTTTCTAGACGCGGAACCTTACCAGCTTTTGAAGGAAGGTAAAGTCCACGATGTGCCTTGGATTACCTCTTACACTACCGGCGAAGGATTGCTTCTTACAGGATGTGAGTCAGGCTGTATAGTAGCCTTTCTTTCTTTTTTCTTATTCCCTGCAATGATTCGGTAATACAAAACTGTGTAAAGTAATCCAGATTATATAATTCTTCAGTTTTTTGGCAAAAGTTGGAAGAGATAGACGAAAAGTGGGTAGAAATAGCTCCCTATGTGCTAGATTGCAACGAGACGTTACCTGTATCGGAGAGGGAAACAGTAGCGAAGGAAGTTTTAGACTACTATTTGGGAGCAGGAGAAAAAATCGATAAGAAGAATTTCAAGAAATTCACACAGGTATATTTTCGTAAAACAAAATTCATTTAGGTACTTTATTTTGTTTTTATTTGCATTTAGATGAGCACCGACAGGTTGTTCGCTGTTCCTGCAGAATTATCACTTAAACTACAATCCAATGTAACGAAATCTCCAGTACATTTCTATATATTCAATTACACCGAAGGTGAAAACAAACTGATCCAGCTCTTCACGGGGATAGATGAAATAGAAGGTAAGAAATGAACATTTAACTAGGGAAAAAGCGGCACTGAATAAATATTGCAAACGGGAACAAATCTACCCTCATCGTTTTCACAGGTGTGTATCACGGTGAAGATGGCGTCTACTTCTATGGTTTATTTCACGTCAACCCATTATCGGAACAGGATAAGCGCTTGGTTACTGCTTGCCAGAATATGTTGTACTCATATGCCAGCAGCGGGTAAATATAACATAAATTTCCTTGAATGGCTTATTTCCTTCATTGATTCGAATTTTTTAGTAATGCTTCTTTCGATGGTACAGACGTTTGGCAACCAACGGGATCTGAAGAGCTGACATACTTGTTCATAAATGGACCAGAAGACATGAAGCTGCACAGGAGTGAAAGTGTGACCCCTATCGACTTTTGGAGCAAGCTCGGACTCTTGGAATATGAAAACCTCGTTGTGAAACACGACCTGTAGTTTGTTTTCCGTATTTTCTTTTTTTTTTAAATCGTTTTAAATTTTAATAACACTTTATATACCTATTATAAATGATTTTGTTTCCCAAAACGATAAGTTTTGTTCTATTCAATGTAATTAAGAGACCTGGGACACCTGTTCTCAGTTTCGCTCGACTGACCACAGCAGGTTTGTAGACACCCCAACTACTGTAATCAACTAACAAACAACTAGGCTTAGTAAATTCAAAAAATTTTTTTGCCTCTAGCTCTTGGACCATTATTACAGATAAGAGTAGTATAAGTAATTAATAATATCTTACCATGCGTTAGTAGATCAAAATTGTGTAGTGACAACTGATCTACTTATCCAAAGATGTAACGGAAATTCCATAGGCATATTAAAAATACTGATAAATATTATTTTAAGTATTAGATTATACCACTTGTATGATAATCTATCTCAAGATATTGTTTTAACTCTTGAAACGCCTTTTTCAACACGTAATAACGTAAGCTATTGCT